CCATCGTAATGGATGGAATGAAAGAGATAATGAAAATCTCTTACCCTGATCTTGCCTGGGACTGTGTGGAGGAAGAGGCTTGTAGTTTTAAATGTTTGTTTATATCAGCTTTCCCCCTCAAGATTGAGACTCAAAGTGGTTCACACTTAACAAGCAATACCTTTAGAATGGTTTTAAATGTAAATATTAAAACAGAATTAAACTGGTACAATTATTAAAACAATTCTCTACTATGGACCAGGCTGAACCTTTGTGAATCTGCCTTTTTTTTAGTCTTGCCAAGGCCTTCAAATGAGCCTTCATTAAAAACTGGACAAGACTTTTGTTTGGTGGGCAGCAGTGAAGCAAATACTATGCTTTTTGTGTAGTTGTTCAGCTACCTTGATTACATTTTCAGTAATAGGCGGAGGACTGGAAAAGGATACAGCTTCAAGGCACATGATGCAGCAACCTTGCCAGGAAGCCTAGGTCCAGTCAGTGATTGAATGAAAGTTCTTTTGGAGATCCCTTCATTCCTGGTGTATGACTTGAGAGTATTGTTGAAAAGATGTCAGCGCATAAATACAATGAATTAGTAACATTTATGCACATGAATTCAGCTAATCAAGATGTTTGGGAAATCTGTGGTCTTCTACTTGTTCTTGGAACTACACTTTCAATCACTTCTGACCATTGAGAATTGTTCCTTCTTCCTGGTTTAAGGCATTGTGGTCACATACCATATACGTCCTCCTTTTCCAGAAACCTTAGAGACAAAAACAATGCTGCTTTGCCTGAGTTTCTTCAAAGCTGCCCAGTCCTTGTATTCTAGCTGTATCCCAACACAACCCTTGATCAATTTCCATCATTACTCATCTTAGTAAATTGGGCAGGAGCCAGACAAACCTTGGCCACACATTTTCTGGAAAATTCTTGTACTGCTCAAGCATTTCTATAGGAACACAACAGAGTTGTAGAACGTCTCAATGCTGCCTTGGCTTTTATCTAATAATTTCAATATCCACAGCTTTACACTAAGGATAGTGATACAGTGATCTTCTGAGTATGACTACATCCAGGGATGATGGAAGCTCTAGTCCTACAGTATCAGGAAGGCTATAGGTTCCACCTTCTTTACACACTACCTCTCTAAGACTTCTCTAGAGTCCATGTTGACTTCACTAATGTGGAAAACAGAGCTTGGCAACATTACTCTTTTAGACTACAGCTTCCAGATTCTCTAAGCCAGTAGCCATGCTGGCTGGAGATTTCTAAGCTGTGGTGGAAGTTTTCTTAAGGACCAGGGACTGTTTCTGATGTCTTTGAATTTTCTAATGTTAGAAAAAAATAGGTAAAGTCTTTCTTGCTTAGCATGAACAAGGAGCAGTTGGCTTGCTGTCTCAGAGCCCTCAAGCATTAGCCAACCATAAACATATGAGAAAGATAAAAGCTAGCAATCCCTCCATTACTTCCCTCTATAGCAGTGGTTCTTAACCTACGGGTCCCCACATATTTTGGCCTTCAGCTCCAGAAATTCTAACAACTGGTAAATTTATTTATTTACTTTACTTGTATACCGCCGTTTCTCAGCCTAACCGACGACTCAACGCGGTTTACAACAGGATAAAAACAGTCAACAATATACAATTCAAAACAAAAGAGCACAGTATACAATATTACACAACAGGGTCCTGGCGGGCTGATAGGCAGAGATACGTTCGGATAGGTAGCTTGGGCCAGAACCATTTACTAGCTGGGATTTCTGGGAGTTGTAGGCCAAAACACCTGAGGACCCACAGGCTGAGAACCATTGCTCTGTAGTCTGGGACTAAAACTATACTGCCATAGAACATGGAAACAAAGAGTTTTGTGATGCTGAATTTTTTATTTTGGCATTAGCCCTTGCACACACTATAGATGCCTACATACTTCCAAGGAAGAGGATTACAGTCCACAAAAGTTTGTGCGAGATAATATGTCAATCTTTGAAGTTTCATTAGACTTTGGGGTTTTTTTCTGCAATAAACATCATGGCTATATACCTGGAAATTTTACATACTGGTCCAGAAGCCACTGTGGCTGGTGGTTTGCCAATGCTTACTAATATGGCAAACAGGTTTGCAAGTTACAGCAAAACAGTGAGAGGAAATGTGCAGTTGGCTGTGCCTCCTTGTATAGTCTTCATGTTGCAATTCTAAAGTACACCACCTACTACTTCAAATATTTGGACTGTAATTTCCATGGATATCAGCCAGCATGGCCAATGGGCAGAATTGATGGAAGTTGTAGCCAAAAATGCCTGAGTTTTGCCAGCTAACATTCTCTCAATGAGCTATATGCAAAGAAATTATAGATATGTGTTGTCAAAGGCTTTCATGATCGGAATCACTGGATTGCTGTGAGTTTTCCAGACTGTATGGCTATGTTCCAGAAGTATTCTGTCTTGACGTTTCACCCACAGCTATGGCAGGCATCCTCAGACGTTGTGAGGTCTGTTGGAAACTAGGCAGGTGGAGTTTATATATCTGTGAAATGTCCAGAGTGGGAGAAAAACTCTTGCCTGCTGGAAGCAATTGTGAAAGTTGCAATTGGCTTCCTTGATTAGCATTTAATGGCCTTGCAGCTTCAAAGCCTGGCTGCTTCCTGCCTGGGGGAATCTGATGAATCAGCCTGATGAACCAACCTGGACACAGCACATTATTTGAGAACACAGAAATGCTGGACCACTCTAACAACCACCGTGTCAGACTACATAGAGAAGCCATTGAAATCCACAAGCTTGTGGACAGTTTCAACAGAAAGGAGGAAATCATGAAAATGAACAAAATCTGGCTACCAGTATTAAAAAAAACAGTATATAAAGTATATACAGTATTAGGACAGTATATAAAGACCAACACTCAGATAACAGGGAATTTAAGACAGGAAACAATCAGGGCCAACTTAACACCTCCCAACTAAGGATTCCCCCAAGCAGGAAGTAGACAGGCTTTGAAGCTGCAGAGCTAATCAAGGTAATCAATTGCAGCATTTACACATGCCGCAAACAGACAAGAATTCTTTCTCCCATCCTGGCCATTCCACAGATATATAAACCTCACTTGCCTAGTTTCCAATATACCTCACAAGCTCTGAGGATGCCTGCCATAGATGTGGATGAAATGTCAGGAGAGAATGCTTCTGGAACATGGCTATACAGCCCAGAAAACTCACAGCAATCCAAATTATCCTGAAATACAATTCTTGCAAATTATGAAAAGAGTGGAATGCAACCAGAGTTCACAGCAAAGCCCCCATAGGAATTCTAGTATGTGTCTAAGTTTAAAACTGTGCAACAGCTATTATCTTTCTGTGTATCCAATCAAGACAGAATTCCATCCTATAAAATGAAATAATTGCAACCAGACTAATTCACATAAGTGACACCAGCTTCAGAATCCAGTGTTTTGGGTGCATTCAACTGGGATAAATGGAACACAGAATAATTTTGATTTTAATAAAACAGCTAGTCTGTGACAAAAAAGAAAACACAGGACTGGAATGAATGAGAAATATATCATACTTCCTTAAAGTAGATCCCTTCATACACAATCTTTAGCTTTGTTTTCAGGTTAGCCTAGGTCAAGATATATAGGTCTGCATCATTTTATAATGGCCCCATAAGGTCAGTTAGAACAACTTTATTGAGGCAATTCAGGAAGTTTTATAAGTGAATACAGAGTTAAACTGGAGTGTTCTCTGTTTGTACGCAACATCCCATTAGATTATTTAGTTACATTAATATCACCAAGACCATGATGCACTACAAGGAGTGCTGCTTTGCAGAGCAAATTATTTTATATGAGCAAATTATGGGGGAACTGTATGAAGTACCAAGCATGGTCTTCTGAATTGTCAGAAATGAACCTGGTCTCCAATTGCTTGTACTAATTTAGTGGGAACCCCTCTTAAATCTCTTCATCGTATCCATGCCTAGAACCTATAAATCTCTGTAGAATGAGTCCTGTGAATTAACGGTCCCCAATTAGGATAGAACCAATGCAAATCTTTTCTGACAGTTATATAAAATGAAGGGTCTGTCGTTTAGTGGTAGAGCCAAATGCTTTGCATGAACAAGGTCCCATTGTCAAACCGAGATATTTCTTGTTAAAGGTCTGAGTTAGCAACTCTGCTAGATACAGAAATAAGATGTCAGTTTAAAGCAAGTACTGAATTACTTTACATAGCACATAGTTAAACTATGAGGTTTAATACCATAAGTGATTTACATCAACTTGAAAAAAATGTAGGAAATGATTATATAAATTCATGGAAGATGACTGTCAGTTCCCACTAGCTATTTCAGGAAAATCTTAACTCTGCTTCTGGCATTTTAATTTCATACTGATGTTAATTAATTTAAAACCACCCAATTTTGTGGATAGAATAGAGATGTGAATACATTTTCCCTTTATGAGATGGCAAAAAACTGCAAGTATTCTATTTGCCAGTCTGATTCTTTATCTCATTCTTGCAATAAAACATCAGTGTCTAATCCTAGGGCTATAAACATGAGAAACCAGGTGTTCAGCAAGAATGCAACCAGAAATTCTTACCCTTTCTTAAGCATAAAAAGGTAAAGGTTTCTCCTTGACATTAAGTATAATCGTGTCCAACTGTGGTGTGTGGTGCTCATCTCCATTTCTAAGCCATAGAGCCAGCATTGTCCATAGACACCTCCAAGGTGGCCATCATGACTGCATGGAGCACCGTTACCTTCCCACCAAAGCAGTACCTATTGAACGACTCACATTTGCATGTTTTTGAACCGCTAGGTTGGCAGAAGCTGGGGCTAACAGCGGGAGCTCACCCAGCTCCCCAGATTCGAATCGCCAACATTTCGGTCAGCAAGTTCAGCAGCTCAGTGCTTTAACCCTCTGTGCCACTTGGGGCTCTTTCTTAAGCAAAGCAGATACAAATGCTGATGCACTTGACATATGTGGGGTACATACATTCCTCTCCTGTTTCTCCCCTTTCTCTAGGCAGTGCCCCCTCCTGGGCGGAGATGGAAGCCAATGCAGCAAGCGACGAGGGTGTGCATTTCCAGAGCTACCCCTTCGACTTCTTGGAGTTCCTGAACCACCAACGCTTTGAACCTATGGAGGCCTACAACCACGAGCACGCCAAAGCAGTCGCTGCCCTTCCCTGCCCACAGCCACAGTACGACTACACCCAGCAGACAACAGCTGCCCCACCAGCCCACTTTGACCGTGTGCCCACAGCCCTCGGCACATCAAAGCCCAAAGTCGAAGGCCCATCACCTTCTTCCTCCACAACTGTTTCATCGGCTAACATCCAAGTCAAGAAATCTGAACCAGGGGGCCCTGCACCGGCTCCTCAGCAGCAGCCGCAGCAGCAACAACAACAGCCACCTTACAGCACTCCAGCAGTGGTGCCTGCAACCAGCCAACCTCTCTTTGATAGCACAGCGGCTGCAGCTGCTGCCGCTGCAGCTTACAACACTCCTCAGTGGGGCATTGTGGATCTGTCTGGTCATCAGCACCTCTTCAGCAGCCTGAAACGTGGGCAGGCTCCAACTCCTGCCACTTCCGCTGGTGTGGTAACTGCTGACAGCCAGGCAGGCAAGGACGACAAGAACTATTTCCGACGCTTAAAATATTTCATCGACCGGCGCTTCCCTTGTGGAGTGTGCCAAAAATCATTCAAGCAGTCATCTCACTTAGTGCAACACATGTTAGTGCACACGGGGGAGCGGCCCTATGAGTGTACCACCTGCGGGCGCACCTACAACCACATTTCCAGCCTCATCCGACACCGCCGCTGCCACAAGGACACTGAGGATGCTACAGCAACTGCCAGTGTCGCTGATGCTAATGTGGTAGCAGCGGCAGCTGCAGCAGCGGCTGTAGTGGCTGCCAATGCAGCTGCTGCTCCAGGTGCAGAGGGAACCACCCAGCCTCCTGCCCAAGGCAGCAACCCTCAAGTGGTACCTGCGCCTGCTGCAGGGACAGCGGTATCTGCTCTCAGTGCTGCCATAGCTCAGGCTGAAGGCCCCTTCACCTGCTCTCTTTGCTGGAAGGTGTTCAAAAAGCCAAGCCACCTGCACCAGCATCAGATCATCCACACAGGCGAAAAGCCATTCTCATGCTCTGTGTGCCAGAAGAGCTTCAACCGACGGGAGAGCTTGAAACGACATGTGCGGACCCATTCAGACTTGTTGCGAGTGCAGTGTGGCGTCTGCGGCAAGGAATTCCGGGATGCTTCCTACCTGCTAAAGCACCAAGCAACCCATGCACCTCCTGGTACCTTACCACCACGTCCGGAGTATAAGTGTGATATCTGTGGCAAGGGCTATGTGGCTCCTCAGAATCTACTGCGCCATCGGCAGCTACAACACGAAGGAGCCCAGCTGCCCAAGGATGGCACTGGTGCCCTGTCCTACCTGCCTCCAGGGGCCTATCTCCTGCCACAAGACCCACAGGCAACAAGTTCTGATGGTGACACCAAACCGACATCGTATGGACTTCTCGGTGCTCACCCATTGCTGGTGGGGACAGCAGCAGGCAAGAATTTCTGTTGTGGGATCTGTGGCCGAGGCTTTGGGCGCCGAGAGACACTCAAGCGGCATGAAAGGATCCACACAGGTGAGAAGCCTCACCAGTGCGCTGTGTGTGGGAAGCGCTTCCGTGAATCTTTCCACCTCAGCAAGCATCATGTGGTGCACACACGTGAGAGACCCTACAAGTGTGAGATATGTGGAAAGGTTTTTGGTTACCCACAGAGCTTAACCCGTCACAAACAAATCCACCGGCTGCAGCTGCCTTGCTCTTTGCCACCTATGGGTCCCTCCTTGACACCCATGGGGCCATCGCTACCTCCACCTCCTGAGGGGCTAACGTATGGCTGCTCTGACTGTGGGGAGCGCTTTCCTGACCTCTTTCATGTCATGAGCCACAAAGAAGTCCATGTGGCTGAGAAGCCCTACCCTTGTGATGTCTGCGGCAAGTGTTTCGGCTTCATCGAGAACCTCATGTGGCACAAGCTGGTCCACCAGGCCGCTCCTGAGCGGCTCCTGCCACCAGATGAGACCGCAGCTGCGGTAGCCCCTCTGGAGAATGGGATGGCTAGTGGCGACAACTTGACATCTTTTGAGGATCACCATCCCACTTTGCCAAGCGGTGAGCGCTTTTCATGCTCCATTTGCGGCCAAACCTTCAAGCATTTCCTAGGTCTTGTGACCCATAAGTATGTGCACCTGGTGCGACGCACATTGGCCTGTTCAGTCTGCGGACAGAGTTTTGCAGGAGCCTATGATCTGCTGCTGCATCGCCGTACTCACCTGCAGAAGCGCCATTTCTCTTGCCCAGTCTGTGGCAAACGTTTCTGGGAAGCTGCCCTCCTCATGCGCCATCAACGTTGCCACACAGAGGAGCGCCCCTACCGCTGCACAGTCTGCGGGCGTGGCTTCCTACGTTCGTGGTACCTACGTCAACATAAAGTGGTGCACACTGGCGAGCGGGCCTACAAGTGTGCCCTCTGCAACAAGCGGTTTGCCCAGTCGTCCAGCTTGGCTGAACATCAGCGCCTTCATGTCGTTGCTCGGCCCCAGCGTTGCCCCACTTGCGGCAAGACCTTCCGCTATCGCAGCAACCTTCTGGAGCACCAGCGAGTGCACTTGGGCGAGAAGGTCTACCGTTGCGACCGTTGCTCCAAGAGTTTCTTCTACCTGTCATCCATATTACGTCACCAACGTTCCCACGATGCAAAGCGCGAGTTACGATGTGGGGCCTGCCTCAAGCTCTTCAAAGATCCCAAGTATTTCAGCAAACATCTCCAGGCCCACCAAGGTGGACGCCCGTTCAAGTGCAGCACCTGCGGAGAAGCCTTCTCCAATACCTATGGGCTCAAGAAGCACCGCCACATTCACAAGATGGAGCGCTTTGCTGCTATGGGTGCTCACAAGGAACAACAACCCTAGGGTTGGGGTGATAGCAAGAGAAATGGGCAGTCCTTACTCTGGTACTTTAAGGTGAGAGATGAAGCTAGTTCCTGGCTGTTGTGAGCCATGAGAACAGCAGGTTTCCAAATATAATAGGCAAGATGGCAGTGCTTGTTGGCAGAGATAGAGAAGACACAAAATCACGAGGCCATGAGCATAACAAGCCATGTACCAGAGATTGAATGCAAGTGGGGCTTTAATTGCAAAAGGTAGCTATCTGGTAACAACAAATGCATATTATCCTGTCCTCCCCTGGATTTCCTAGCCTAAGTGTGGAGGGAAAGATAGTTGACAAGTGGCTACCAAGCTTGTATACAGTGTTGGGAATGAAAGATTTCGGCTTTTTTCTTCCTCGTCATCAATCAAAATCAAACTATGGAAAAGTTGTATTGGAATCACACCATTTCTGTAGGAAGATATTGAAATGGAGCAGAAGCCACCCTGAATTCCCCCTTGCAAGAAGAAATGGTGTTTCCTGCCCACCTTTTCCCCCTTGAATGGAATACCAAGAGCAGATTCACACATTGGAGACAGGACTGGAAAGGACATGGGATAGTTCTTCAAGAATGCTCACCCCACTTTTCTGCAAATCTCGCCACTTGCTCTATGCCAGACAAGCCTTGCTTATTTTCTGGGGAGGAAATGTGTTAATTTGTGTGCTTTCTTCACATTTATAAAGACCGTAGATTAGTTGTTATCTTTAAAGACCTTGGGAATCAGTGGGAGGTGGCTGCTAACTGAATACAGTTTAACCCATGATCAGAATCGCAAATTAGAGGAGTCTTCTGAAATTATGTTCTGGCATATGGTGCAGTAGATGCCTTTGCGCCATCAAATCATTACTTACCTTTCTGTCTCCCAAGGCAGTGCAGGTTCACAGTGCAACTAAATGGAGGATCAAAACATGAATTCTTCTTCAAATAAAAAAGAAAGAAAAAACCCTTCTCTGCTCAGAGAGCAAGCAATCATGGAAATCTGGTTCCAGCCTTACTTTCTTGCTGCCATGCCAGCTTTCCACATAGAGGGAGTATTAAATGTGGGAAAACATTCCAAGATGCCATTCTCCCATACACATTCTAAATTAGTACACTCCCAGGAGGATTGCACCATATGCGTTCTGAATTGGCCCTCAGAAGGTAGTCAGGAAGTACAAAAGTACATCACTTGTCAACCAACTTGGGTTTGTGCATGGTGTCTCTCTTACGTGTCTCAGAATGCTACTGTTCTTGCATAATCCAGAACATTTTGACACCTTGCATACATAAGCCTCCATCAATTTATGCATATCATTTCTTAAGCTAGAAGTGGATCAGGTCTGTGAAGGGAGCTATGGTTGGGTAGTCACCCATCTCCAGGCCATTTCCACTTGGTCATGTAATTGCTGTCCCTTTCCTGTGTTGTGAAGATGAGAGAAGTGAAAGGGAACACAAATGGTGATTCCTTAGGCCAGGCCTGTATGTTGCATTGGCTGCCTAGCACACCTAGCAGGTATTCCATAGACTGAGCCATAAGCTCATTCCTCTTCCATACAAGACATGCAATACACTTACATTAGACTCCGTGCTGGTTGACTTAGTCTGAGGCTGAAATTTCCCATGGTAGCATTCTCATCTACAGTCTTGTCTTGAGGCCTTCCACCACAATCTCTCCAAATGGAAAGGTAGTGGATGGATACAGTATAGGCAAAAGATACTTGTAAATTCCCAGTCTTCATCCTGTGCATCTCCTCTTTGTATCCCTTCATCAGGTTTCAGAGGATACTTTGCAAATCTAAAGAGGCAGGAGGGAAGGTGGCAACCAAAGAGTTCTGGAGCTGTTCTCTCTTGTGGACACAATGAAGCTGATTGCACCACCACAAATGGTGATTGAAGTCGTTCTTCTGCAGAAAGCTGTACTATTCAAGTTTTGTTGTTTATCCATTTCAGCAAGGGCAGAGTATGCTAACTTCTTTCAGGTGGCAGTACCAAAGGTGCCTCCCTATTATTCCTGATCTAGCATCCCTTTGGTTCCTGCCTTGGTGAGAGCCAGCCAAGGATATAAGAACCCAAAGATGCATTTTGAATCCAATGTATTTGTCCATCTACTCCAGTGCCTGGAAGAAGAGAGAAGGGGGTGGCTGTTGCCAAAGCTGTAGGGTGAATTGTGGGAGAGACAATTGTGATAGATATGGACAATAGGTCAGTGTATTCTTTAGAAGAAACCTTGCAGAATTGAGTGATACAAAAGTAAACCGGCTAGATACATAATGAACAGAGTGAATAACAGAAAGGAGATGGGAAGCCTCTAGTCTTCATTAAACCACAATTCCCACATTTGGTCAATTCAAGGACAATTCATTTTGCCCTTATTGAGTCAAACCCAGTTAAACTAGTATCTCTGATCAGCGGAAATATTACTATTTGCTGTTTCCAAAAGTGGCTGATAATGGGATGTTCCTTTTCTTATACGTTGATATAAAAATGTAAAGACCTGAACATGTTGCTGAAATTCAGTGGAACCTTCCTATAGTGGTGGCCGTACCTTTGGCTGCCTTATACGGAAGCGGATATTTTTTCCGTATCGAATATTCTCTCCCTCACTTGGTATTTGCCAGTAGAGCTAAGTCTGATATTAGATTCCTTTTGCCCTTTATGAATACAGCATATCTTGATTATACAACCTGCTTTGTAGTGTCATCTACCTTTACATTTAGTTGAACATTGCACAGAAACCCCACTGAAAACTCAGAGCATCAGAACTGGTTATTAGTTCCTACACAAAAGTGTATGATTTGCTTATACTATCCACCTTTTGGGGAGAAAATGTGCTCACGACTAACCCATTATATGGTGTGTTTATTGAATTGTTTAATTGTACCTTCCCAAATGGGCAATGAAACATAAGAGAACCGAGAACATAGATGACTGAAGAGAAAAAATAGGTTTCAAAACAACCTAAAGTGTGGGGGACAAATTGTGTGGCTATGACTCTATAATGACTGTTTCAATTGCAAAATTGATGTCCAACCAGGCCTTGTCAAAATGATAGCCTGTTTCCTGAAGATACGAAATGTGGTATGACTTTCCTAGTTTGTTTTGGTTTTTAATTTCTCTGACTTCACTTTAAAAAAAAAAACACGAATTAGTAACTATTACCTTTAACTTACTTTCCTTTATTCAGAATCATGATATTTGGCAAGTGGCAAAACATGATTCTTCTCATCCATAAATAATATTGAATAAATACTTGCAGATGCTGTGAGTTGAGAGTATAAATGGATATCCTTTTTAGTAAAATATATAATGGAAGTGAGAAGGCATAGTGTTTACTAGCAAGGGCTTGTCTGACCATTAATACTTATTGGAGCACAGCTGTTTACATGAAGTCTGTATCCACTCTTTTTTCTAGGAGCAGTTTTGTTTATGAAACTATACTCTTCTGTGTTGGCTGGGCGTTGCTAGCTGGATTGATGTGAGATTACTATGAACTCAAATAACATATCATCCTCATGTGAAAAATATTGGAAACGAAGCGAATTAGGGTACACCTTCCCATATATCTGATGAAGTCTAGCAGATTTGAGACTAAGAGGTAATGGAAGGGAGCATTATTTAACCTGAACTCTGGAAGGGATATGAAGAGGATACTGTAAGTGGGTTGAAAAGTTGGTGTGGATTTTACTTCTGGTTGGAGAATTCTTTGGAAGACCACTTGGTTTGGAAATTGCAGTCAGGCACTAACAACCATCCTTCCCACTACACTACTTTGGTTTCTGTATTCATGGTTAGTTTCTCAGCCCTGAAGTGTGCATGACTGCAGTGGTGGCTGTCCCACCGGTCCTCATCAATCCCAAATGCCTTTTTTGCTGTGTACTGTGACTATGTACAGGGTGGGAATGATACTACATCCTTTTCTAGCATCAGGACTTTTTCAGATGCCTCGAGATGCACAGCCATTTTCTGAGGATTGCTTCAAACTAAGGATTCTCTGGTTTTGACTGCGACTGATTTTTTGCCTCGATTCACCTTCTCCCAAACTGGAGATCGGCATGGTTTGAGAGAGGACTCACACATCCTCAGACCAGTGACCATTGTATAACCTTTGAATGAAGAGTCGTGTCACTAATAGGACCCAACCCATTGCAATCATGTTAGCAAATGACTTTTTGTATTAATATAGATATATACATACATTTATATATAAATACTTCTTTTCTAACTACCCTTTCCTCCCATTGGCCATAGAGTGCAGGATGTGCAGTTCTTTTGGTGCCAAGATTCAAGTCCCTACAATAATGTGTACTAAACTATGTATAGGACCCTGTCATTGTCCATGCAGCTGATGGGCCTGGACCGATAACCTGTCCCCCCTCCACTTCGTTGTACCCCTCGGGGATTGTACAGCGTGTGTGTTTTCTCAATCGGGTGGGGGAATGGGAATGTGTTTGTGTTTTAAACCAACCAATTGTTTTAAAAGTGTCTGATTTATGATGTACAGACTAAACAAACATTAAAAAGAGGAAAAAGAATTGGAGAAAAGTGCCATGCTTTGAATGGGGGCCAGGTTTGCTTATTTTGTTCAAGTGTTGGTGTAAGTTAGTTTTCCTTTAAGAATTCAAATGGCTGGATGGTTTGCTGACAAGTCTAGTAACTAGGCACAAGAATAGGAAAGGCAGAAATTCTCAGAGAATTGAAAACATGGGAGAAACTCTGTCTTCAAATTGTTTCCTCAGGCAAATCAGTGTTTTCGTGGCAATATTAGTTTGTGGTGGTGATGGTGGTTGACAATGCCCTTGAGATTTAGAAAATGTAAATTGCCAGTGGGCACCCAGTGGGTTTCCATGGCTTATGTAGAGATTTGAGCCCTGGTCTCCCAACACTCAGTCCACTACACCACACTGGCTTTTCAAGGAAACATGCTTATAATAATAGCAGAGTATAACTGCAGAAATATTTAGTCTGCAGAAGAGAAGGCTGAGAGGAGACAAGATGAGGGCCATGGATCAAGATGTGAGGGGAAGTCATAGGGAGGGGGGAGTAAGCTTGTTTTCTGATGCCCTGGAGACTAGGACATAGAACAATGGCCTCAAATTACAGAAAAGGAGATTCCACCAGAACATTAGGAAGAACTGTGAGAGCTGTTCAGTAGTGGAACTCTCTGCTCAGAGTGTGGTGGAGGCTCCTTTGGGGGCTTTTAAACAGAGGCTGGATAGCCAGTTGTCAGGGGTGCTTTGAATGCAAGTGTCCTGCTTCTTGGCAGGGGGTTGGACTGGATAGCCCACGAGGTCTTTTCCAACTCTGATTCTAGGTGCATCATCTGAAGATGATCACTGCAAATCTAGTATCAAAATAATCTCTTTAGTAAGAAGGCATTTTCCAGCCAGAACAAGGGTGTGGATAACTGTGTAGAAAACTTAAAATGTTTTGAACCTTCATACAATTCATTGTCCAACTTGAGACTGATGGGACATAACCCTCTGACCTGGTAGGTATGAAGAAGTGGGCAATTTGAATGAGACATGGTGCTATGTCAGTGTAATTTTCATAAAAATAAAGAGTTGAAAAATTAAAATTCTTGCATAACCAACAGAAGTTTGAAAAATACATTAATTGCAGTTTCAGAATTGTGATTACACAAATCCAAATGTTGATATTTTAAGCAAATAGTTAAAAGTAATCTTTCCACAGAATGTTTTTTTGGTTTTTTATCTCTTGGTTTGGGCAGAGGGAGGGAGACATAAATACACAATCCAATAGCATCCATAAATTTGGTAAATTTAAATTGAGATGTTTAAAAATGCAAAATCAAACTAGGCACATTTGCTTGATAAATCTCGCTCTTCCTCCATGAACAGAGGGGTTTGCCATATGAGCATTTTTTTCCTAGTGGGATAATGCGTACTAGGCTAGCAGCACTTCTTTAACACCCCTTTAACCTGAGATGCCTGGGGTAGAAGTAGGGACTTTCTACAAAGCATATATCCTGTAACAGCCATATTTTCATCTTCATTTGGGCTACTTCCTAGTAGTTGAAAACACAAGACTGCATCATGCAGAATCATCCTATTTCTTCTTTCTTGTTCATGTCTCCTATGTGAGAACATGATTAATACCTAGAAAATTTACATGATAACAGTAAGTTCCTTTATACTTCTTTGACATTTTAGCCCTTACAACAAAAAATGTCAAAATTGCCTTTTAAAAATGTACAAGCCGACTTTTCTTTAGAAACCATAAGTACAAATTATATGGTACTCTGGAAACCCCACATTTGGAATAAAGCTCTGAAATATCAACTCTTGTTGATATTGTGGATAATGAGATCCATGAAATACACCAAGCTCTGCCGATATATAAGAAAGGTCCTTAAAAGGGCCACTCTTAGAAGAGACCATCAAGATCTTGAAGGGTTTACATCACACGATGTACAATGAGAACTACAGAAATTGGGATGTGTACACCTTTTTAAAAAATGCATAGTATAATAGGAAGGAGCTTTAGAGAAATGCTTTAGTTGGCCCATGCTGTGCTCTTTCTTCCTAATGTTTCCATTAGGACTATATGAACATTTACTAATGTTTGGCATGAAGGTTTTAAAAAATATTTTGGATTTCCAAAGCACAATGTCAAGAATCATGGTTTTACTTATAAACAGGGTATTTTCAAAAGATTTTATTTCTAGCTTTGGGTGTTTGCTGCAAATATTTACAAGTATTTCTGAAATAACTTTTCCATAGCCCTTTCTCCCTAAATTGTTCCATTGCTAATATAACATTGCTTTATTCACATCTTTCACCAAATTCCTTTTTATGAAATCAAATTTGTGCTCCTGAGCATGGGCACATATTTGAAACCCTGTGCATATTGGTTGCTATAAATCAGATCAGTTTTTTTAAAGAGCTAACATACTGCCAATGTAGGAAATTGGCAGTATACAATTGTGTCGATAGCACAATGGTATACATATTCAACCAAAGTTCAACAGGGCTTACACTCAGGTTAAGTGAATACGAACCACCTAATTTCCAGCAATGGTGTTGAATTTCATACATTAAACAAATTTCACATGATTAAAAAAAATATTTTTAAAATGTCCATACAAGGCACTGACTACTAGAAAGTCTGCTCCACTCCCTCTATCAAGATCTAACACCAAAGAGATTTGGTACATATATTCTCAAATGATATTCTAGGTCCCAAAGAGTCCAGAACATAATGCCAAACCATGATTTAGGTAGAGATTTCCCCTTGACATTAAATCTAGTCGAGTCTCTATGGGTTGGTGCACACATCCATTTCTAAGCCTCCTAGGTGGAGCCCCCGGTGGTGCAGAGGGTTAAACCCCTGTGCCAGCAGGACTGAAGACCGACAGGTCGCAGGTTCGAATCCGGGGAGAGGCGGATGAGCTCCCTCTATCAGCTCTGGCTCCTCATGCGGAGACAAGAGAGAAGCCTCCCACAAGGATGATAAAAACATCAATTCATCTGTGCGTCCCCTGGGCAACGTCCTTGCAGACGGCCAATTCTCTCACACCAGAGCGAATTTCAGTTTCTCAAGTCGCTCCTGACAAAACAAAAAACCTCCTAGGCCATGTGGCCAGCACGACTGCATGGAGCGCCATTACCTTCTCGCTGAAGTGGTATCTATTGATCTACTCACTTGCATGTTTTTGAACTGCTAGGTTGGCAGAAGTTGGGGCTAACAATGGGAGTTCACCCCATCCCATGAATTCAAACCACCGACCTTCCGGTCAGCAAGTTCTACACCTTCAGAGGTTGAACGTCCTGTGCCACCACAGCCCCATAACCATGATTTAGTATTACATAAATGGCTAAGATTTACATGCACCTTTCTCTCAACATTTCCTGATTCTTGGCAAAGCATGATTTCCACCAACCTTCGCTTACTCACCAACTTAATTAGAAATAATGGCTTGATTGCTGTGCTAGGGATGGTTTTGAAATAATCTATTTACCAAGAAGTGCAAAGAAACTATTGCAATGTCTCTTTAAAGCCAGTTTTGTAGTGTTTAATAGCTTCCTGGATTTGTCAGACCTTGTTCACTATACTCTTGTTGATATTTGTGAAGCAATACTTCTATCCTCTGTTGTCCTTATTAGCACAGGAGTCTGCATCACAACTAGCATTACAGGAAGAAGGAGCACATAAGCCTATGACTTGCTCATGAAATGCCAAACCATAGTTTTCCATGACATTAAAACCACACCATAGGAGTTAACAACTTTATGTTTTCTATAAAAGGAAAAGCTTGGCAGGATACTGAACTCAGCACCCATCAACAACAAAAGTAGTGCCCACAGTTCTACCTACAGCTACACTTCCATTTCCCAATGACAGGTTTCCTTCAAATGGTATCAGTGTGGCTTGTCACTCCATAAGTCTTTCACTATGGCTTTACCCCCATGTCTTGTCCCCTCCTGCCCATGAAGCCGGCGATGCTTGGCAAAATTGGAGGAGTTATTAAAACGTCTATAGCACACAGCACACTCAAACGGTTTCTCTCCAGTGTGTAGCCTCCGGTGAGTAACCAGGGCTGAGCTTTGAGTGAATCGCTTCCCGCAGACACTGCAACCAAAGGGCCGCTCGCCCGTATGAACCCGCAAATGCTCCTTCAGATCTGTGGCCCGACGAAACTGCTTGGGGCATGCAAAACACAGAAAGGGTTTGGAATCTAATTCTGGCAGAGAGTGCTGCCCATAGGTTTCAGGTTCTTGAAAAGGAAAACTAGGTGGTGAACTCCCATCTTCTTCCCAGTGATGAGAGGTCATTCTAAACTGGTGTTGGGAATGGCTATGGGGGGAGGCAGAGATGTCATAAGGCAAGGACCATGGTTCAGGACTTTCTTGTTGCCAGGGAGATACATCGTTAGACATGCCTATGGTAGAACAATCCTCAAATTCATCCTTTTCTTTCATTATCCTAATATTTGGCTCTTCCCAGGCCAAAACATTGCTGTTATTGGGATGTGTCCAGGAAGACACTTTGGGTGTGACAACATTCTTGAGGGTGTCTACTTGGAAGTCCATCCATTTCTCCTTGTTGGTGCCACCATCCTGGGTTACGTCTCCAAACTGGCCAGGGTTTTGGTGTCTTAGGTCATCAGTAGCATCTGCATCACTGCCGTTTTGCCTTGGTTCCAAGATACTAACATCCATTTCTGGATTCAGTCCACTGAGATGGCTTCCCCTTGTACCATTTTGCCTCATGTTTGTGCCTATACCCTCTCCACTGCTGTACTTCAGCCCTTTAAGATAGTCTCCATTTGCCCTCCTTACTAAATTGCTCCTGACTCTGCTCTCCTGACCCTGTTTATGAATATCCTTCCTGTCGCCATCAACTAGTGAAAGGCCTTTTCCAAAACTGTTGCCATCTAGCTGTAACTTATCATTACAACTCTCCGCAAGTTGCTTCTGTTCTCCCTGAGTGTGACTTCCGCCAGCTTTATTTGGCCTCATGGCTTCAGTGTGATTTTCCCCACTAACATCCCTCCGTGGCTGGAAGCTGTGGCCATTTTTAGTCACTTCTGAGCCTTGGCTAGAATCGCCATTGTCTCCCAAGCAACCATAATTGTATTTGCTGCCTTCCATCTTAACATCAATACATCCATGGCTACTTTGCCTTATTTGATGACTACCGTCTTGCCTTAGTCCTCTTCCTTTGAAATAGTCCATATTGTCACTAGGTTGCCTTAAGCTGCCATTTTGGGGTATCCTACTATTGCAACTAAGGCCTTGCCATCCCTTGGGGTCTTGGTTCCTCCTGTTCTCGCCATTCTTTACTTCTTGGATGACCTGATAGTCATTTTGTCCTTCTGCCAGCTGGCTCTGCTTCTTCCCAAGGAATAGGTCACAGTCTTTCTCATCTTCCCTTGTGTTACAGTGACCAAACAGTTGGCCATGAATGCGTTGATGCTTCCGGAAGTTAGAACCATTGTTGAAAGACTTGAAGCAGATGCTGCAGTGGAAAGGCCGCTCGCCAGTGTGGATGCGCATGTGGCCAGAAAGCACAGAGCTCTGGGTGAAACGCTTGCCGCAGACGCCACAGCCATAGGGCCTTTCGCCGGTGTGGACCCGCTCGTGGTCGCGCCGGTCGGAAGCTCTCTTGAAGCTCTTGGGGCAGAAGGAACAGGTGTAGGGCCTCTCCATAGGGTGGGCCAGAGCCTCTGGGTTGTCCGGCAACCAACTCTGAGGCTCTAAAACAAAGCTTTTGCACCCCAGGCATTGTGGAATGTGCCCCGTGGGCCCAGCAAGGGTTGGCAAGTCCTCTTGGCAGAAGGGACAGACAGAGGGGATTTCTGGCCCTGTCTCTTCTTTCACTGTCACCAGCTCTATCTCCATCAGGAGGCCCCGACAGCAGGGCTCCAACTCCAATAGTATTTGCCCCCTGGGGAAAACAAAAGAAAAGTCAGTATAGTAACACCACCACCACCAACAACAACAACAACAAATTTATTACCCACCTCCATATATCAAGAGAAAGAAGGAGGTGGGTTTAATGGAGCACAATTGAGTAACAACAACAATAGTAGCCAGGGCTCCAATTACAGAGCACAGCCGAAAAGGTACAGACTTCTACTCACTAGTTTTAAGGGGGTCAGGGAAAGAGGGGATCCCCTAAATACAGATAGAATCAAGGCAACATGTGAACTTCAGCTCATTCGCCTTCCCTAATTCAAACACCCATGATGTTCTTAAAGCATTCATATTTATTAATACCAAGCCTTTCCACCCAAAACCAGCCAAGTTGGCTAATGGTAAAACATGAGGACAAAATGACTTCAGCCAAATTGCAATGGTCAGTAGCAAGAACAAACTGCTCACTGCAAAAAAGCAGTTAAAATCAACCAGGCAAATGACTGTTAGAACTGATGTGCCTCTAAGGGAGCGGTTCTCAACCTGTAAGTCCCCAGGTGTTTTGGCCTACAACTCCCAGAAATCCCAGCCAATTTACCAGCTGTTAGGATTTCTGGGAGTTGAAGGCCAAAACATCTGGGGACCCATGGGTTGAGAACCATTGCGAGTTAACTGATTTAAGGCATTTCTGTATCACTTCCCAGCCCACAAGGATTCACCAGGAGATGGAAGAAAAAAACCCCAATAAAATTAGTACACAACAAAGATTTTTTAAAATGTTTTGAAAAATACCTAAAATCAACTGTAGATTCCAGTTTTGAAAAAAAGTCAAAATGGCAATTTAATAACAATACACTTTATTTATTTTCTGCTTTATTTCCCCGGAGGGACTTAGAGCAGATTATAGTACACATATAAGGCAAACATTCAATGCCTTTTACACAATGAACATACAATACATAAATAAGGTAAAGGCCTTCTGTAAAGACGCCACCAGTTGTAGGTTGAGAACCACTGTTCTACATGTTTTGTTCAGTGCAGTGTTCACCTGCTTTTTGTGGGCAGACTTGTGCCAAACAGGGCAGGCATACTCACAGTTGAGTAAGACAAGGCCTTGGCTGATGCTCTTATTAATTTGGAGTCTGCACCCCATGAGCTGCCAATACGTTTCCACAGGATGTTATTGCATGCAGCTACTTTGTGCTTGGTGTTCAAACAGTGTTTCCTAAATGCTAAGGCAGTAGTTCTCAACCTGTGGGTCCCCAAGTTTACCAGCTGTTAGGATTTCTGGGAGTTGAAGGCCAAAACATCTGGGGACTCACAGATCGAGAACCACTGCTCTAAGGTAACACAAAGATATTTAGGATGGAAGCAGTGTTCCAGCTCTTGGCCTTCCAACGGTGAAGGATGTGGATAGGAGACAATAGCACAATTTCAAAAAGTGACACTGCTTGGACTTGCCATGACATCGGATGATATTTCATGGATATCTAGATTGTTGAATAGAATCTAAGTTACTAATGGTTCAAAATTCAAAGTCAATGATGCCAAAGCATTAAGCGATGGCGGTTCAAGTGGTACCAAACCGCATGACCACTGGTAGAGGCACCTCTTTTCCACACAACAAAGACCTGCTTGCCTTCCCTATATAGTCCTACCTTGCAAAGGGGTGGGAGAGAGGGTTCCTAGGGTGCATCTTACACCAGGCATGGGCAAACTTTCTAGCTTAGGGGCTGCATGGTGGGCTGGAGTGGGGAGGGCAAGCTGGGAGGGAGGGGGTTCTCCCCAAGCCTCCTCCCTGCCTTTTCCTCTCCTTCCCCTTCTCTTTCAGAGGCAGAAAATTAAGGAAAGACGGGAAACATTTGGATCCCAAAAGGGTTGGTCTTGGTCAGGATGAGATGGTGGATGGGAGGGGAAAAGTACATCCATTAGACCCCGCATTGCCTACTCCTGATATAGAATCCTAGAGCTGGAAGAGACCCCCAAGGGTCATCCAGTCCAACCCCCAGCCATGCAAGAATGCACAAAGCACTCCTGATAGACAGCTTTTGAGGAAAAGCCTCCAGAGAAGGATACTCCATCACATTCCCAAGCAGCCTATGCCACACTCCAACAGCTCTTACTCTCAGGAAGTTCTTGGAAGAGACCCCCAAGGGCCATCCAGTTCAACCCCCTGCCATGTAAGAAGGCACAATCAAAGCACTCCCAATAGACTGGCCTCTGCAGAAAAGCCTCCATCACAGGGGTTGGACTGGATGGCCCATGAGGTTTCTTCCAGCTCTATGATTCTATGGCAGCCTATGCCACTCTCCAACAGCTCTTACTCTCAGGAAGTTCTTCCTAATCTTTTCAGTTGAATCTCTTTCCCTGCCATTTGAACCCATTGCTTCCTTGTGGCCTGGTCTCTAGAGCAGCAGAAAGACAGCTTTTCCCCTTCTTCTCCTCAATGGGAGACCCTTTGAAATCTTGAAACATGGCTCTCGTGATCCTTCTCTATCTTCTCTTTTCCTAGCTAAACATCCCCCAGAAAGAAAGGAGGAAAGAAAAAGAGAAGGAAGGAAGGAAGGAAGGAAGGAAGGAAGGAAGGAAGGAAGGAAGGGAGGGAGGGAGAAAGGGAGGAAGGGAAGGAGAAAGGGAGAGAGGGAAGGAGGGACGAAAGAGGGAAGAGAGGGAGGGAAGGAAGGAAATGAAGGGGAAGGAAATGAAGAAAGGGAAAGGAGGAAAAGGAGGGAGGTAAAGAAGGAAAGGAAGAAGGGACAGGAAGGAAGGAAATGGGGAGGGAGGGAGGGAGGGAGGGAGGAGAAGGAAGGAAGGAGGAAGGAAGGAGGGGAAGAAGGAAAGAAAGAAGGAAGGAGAAAGAGGTGGGAGGAAGGAGGGAGGAAAGAGAGAAGGAAGGAAGGAGAAAGAGGGGGAAGGAAAGAAGGAAGGAAGGAAGGAAGGAAAGACGGAGAAAGAGGGGGGAAAGAAGGAGGGAGGGAAAGAGGGAAGGAAGGATAGAAAGGAAGGAGGAAGGAAATGTAGGGTGGTGAGAGAGAGGAGGGCCTGAGAAAAGAGCCCAAGGGGCCGCATCTGGCCCCCGGGCCTGGGTTTGCCCATACCTGATCTACACTGTAGAACTAATTCAGTTTAACACCACACTAACTGCCATGGTTTTATCTTTGCAAGCTCTTTAGCCTTCTTTGCAAAGAGTGCTGGTGCCTCACCAAACTACAACTCCCAGGATTCCATAGCCTTGAATAGTTAGAGCGGGATCAAACTACATTCATTCTACAGTGGAGATGAACCGCTGACCAATAGAGAACAATGGCAGCAAAGCAGAGAGACAAAAGGGATGCGGGTCAGGCTACTTGGGAGCAAAGAGGGCTTGTTGATCCCTTTATCTGAGATCCCTTCTGCAAACCCGGCCCGCTGCTCCTCCTTCACTTCGGTCTCTTTGTTGCCTTGCTTCATCGCATTGCACCCAGTGCTGATCCTTTCCCCTTCTAGCATCGATCCTTACCTGGATCTGCTCCCTCCAGACAATCTGCAAGATTCCTCCTTCCAAGATTCTCCTTCCAACTTTCGGATTCCTTTCAAAAGGGGAAGAAGCAGTTGCTGCAAACTCCCTTCCTCCTCCTCCTGCTGCTGCTGTCCATTCTCTTCCCTAATAGGCGCCTCCCCTTTAAATGCAACCCAGAAGGAAATTAAAGGGAACCGACCGGTTTGTCGCCTGTCTTTTTTTGCCTGCCGTCAAAAAGGCATCTTAAGATTTCTCCTCCTTCCAGGACTACATTTAGGCGCAGACTGGTCTGCAAAGTTGGGAAAGTCTAATAATAATAATAATAATAATAATAATAATAATAATAATAATAATAATAATAATAATAATACCCACATAATATTTATATAATAATATACAATAATAACAAAATATTTATATAATATAAAATAACAAAATATTTATATAATAAAATTAAAATAAAACAATATTTACATAACAAAATAAAGTAACAAAATATTAATATAACAAAATAAAAGATAACAAAATAATATTTATATAACAATATAAAAATATAAAACAAAAACAAAATAATGTTTATATAACAATATAAAATAAAAACAAAATAATGTTTATATAATAAAAATAATAACAAAATATTTATATAACAATCTAAAAACAAAATAATATTTATATAACAATGAAAAATAATACCAAAATAATATTTATATAACAATGTAAAATAATAACAAAATATTTATAAAATAAAATAATAACAAAATAATACTAATATAAAATAATAAGGTACTATTCCATTATCCCAAAATAATATTAATAACAATAATAATTACAAAATAATATTTACATTATTTTTGTTGTTTTATTACATTTATTTTATGCTGCATATTTATTTACTTAGGTATTTTTTATGTACTTCATTTTTATCCTGCCTTTTTCAAGACTCAAGGCACCCTAACCATGAACTTGTCACAATGCAATACAAATGAAAAACAAACCACTACAGCTTGTCCTCTTATGAATTCTTCCTCAATTAAACCTTTTGCCATTTTGACAGCACTTTGATGTTGCTTGGTCTACTACTACTACTAGTAGTAGTAGTAGTAGTAGTAGTAATAATAAGAATATAAATTATTAATCTACTGAATGTTGAAAGGTATGATTTTGTTGCATATTTTTGTACCTTTTCTCTATGCAAAGAACTGACACTGAATCAATGGATCGTCATCCACCTACAACATAGAAGTCACACAGCATCACTTTATTCGGGTAGTACACAAAGATGAACCAAATCCCCATAGAACTGTTTTTTAATTTTTAAAAAAAAGAAATGACAAAGAAGACACATAGATCAGAGATCCCACACTAAATACGAAGTAGAGGAAACATGATCCAGGGCATCTTTGGAGGTACCAGTTTATCTGGTGCCTTGGAAAACATGCCTGTATGTCAGTTTCTCCTGCTTCTTGTCCATCCAACCCATTCTTTTAACTCTGCAAAGGAACAGGAGATCCTATGCTTGTTAAATATCATAGGAGACCACAGCAGTCTCATCTGATAATACCCCATGGACTGAAAAGCAGAGGGAAGACAAAGGTATTTTATTTTGCTTTGTGTAGAGTTGATGTTCAAATCCATTCCACAAACACATAGATGCTGACCCACAAAGATTTGGGAAGTTATCTGGATAAATTCCGATGGGCTAATTTGAGGTCTGAAGGAAACAAAGCTTGAGAGCAGGGCACATGGGCCATGGTACAGATCTGATTTGGAGGCTGGACTCACATCAGAAATAGCAGTAAATCCCAACTCAAGTTACTGTACTCCCAACTCAAGAACGGGAAATGTCATGTTGGTGGACAGGAATAGAGATTTAATGATGGGCTTAAAGCCAACCTCAAAAACTGTGGCATAGACACCAAAACTGGGAAGCCCTGGCCCTTGAACACTCTAACTGGAGGTCAGCTATGACCAACAGTGCTGCAGAATTCGAAGAGGCACGAATGGAGGGCGAAAGGGAGAAACATGCCAAGAGGAAGGCGCATCAAGCCAACCCTGGGCAGCACCACCTTCCACCTGGAAACCGATGTCCTCACTGTGGAAGAACATGCAGATCAAGAATAGGGCTTCACAGCCACCTACGGACCCACCGCCAGGACACTACACTTGGAGGATCATCATCCTCGGGCTACAAGGGATCTCCTAAGTGAGCAGCAACATCTTTCTGAAGGAATGTAGAATCACATTTTCCCCACTGGAAAAGTAAACGATTTTAAATTAAGACTTTTAAGGCCTAAAAGCAAAGATATATCCCTATTTCATCCTTCAGTGCCCCCACTCTTGTCCAAATTATGTGTGTGTGTGCAATGCACACACACGCGCGCGCCACATACAGGAATCAGCCTTAGCCAGCATAAACATTTGTGTGGAATGCCATGAATTACAGCCCACTAGCCCTTTTCTGAAGGGGTATTCACCCCTCCCTACTCCAACACTATGTCTTTCTGCCAGTGTTTCGTATAGCTCTTTCTAACTTCATACAACCACTTTGGCCAAAAGGTTTGTCATGTGAGAATGGAATAGGCTTGACAAGAATTTAAGGACGGTCTGTTGCTGAGATGATGGAAGCCCAGGATTCAAAGTGAAAGATCCATTCTGTTTCAGGTCAGCATTTGGCACTTCCAAATAAGACAACTGGAATTTATTGAATCCAACTGGAAATCTTAGCGGAAATTCTATGCCAAAATAAGAAGTGATGTCCTCACTGTCTCAATCTAACTATCCTTCACTCCCAAAGCAACTAGAACATTATCCACAGGGCAGTTTTCTAAAATGGGCATACTCTAGTTTATAATTGGTGTGTTTGTGGGTGGATATAAAAGAAATGGAAGCTTCTAGATAGATTTCAAAGCCAGGTCTATCAATGATAAGGGTTATTATTAACAGGCAGTGGAGGGCTATATCCATGCCATACATGCAGAGTCTGGGCAAGGCCTGCTGGATTTTCCCTGCCATCCATTATAAACTGAGACAAGAAGTTTTCCCCAGGACACTGTGGCAAAGGTTGATGCTAGTAGGCTCTGCTCTCTATTGTAGAGAAGGGGGTTGACAGGCTAACGAATTCATGCTAGATGCGTGTGGCCTTCAAGGGTAATGGTAACAGGACAAAGCAGGAGGAAACAGACCTTCCTGATGGGTTAATGAGGAGCATAGGCAGGCAGGACAGACTACGCATTTCTATAAAAGGGTGGCAAACCAGATTGTCATGCCACTGGGCATAAGATATCTGTGTGAGGACTCAGGAAGTTGGCCTTTGCATGCCAGATACTTTGTGGGATAGCTGGGAATGTGTATCTCCATTCCACATTTTGTTTTTCATGGAAGCTGCCGGATGTGGGGGCATCAGGTCCCTCAGATGTGGGAAGAAACTTTCAGGCTAGGATTAGCTCAGCATGCACGGATGCTAGCAGGGCCTGGACAGCAGGTTCCTAAGGCCTGGGTGGGTAGGTCCTCACGCCAGTTATTTCTAGCACAAGTCCCCCAAAAGGCCAGTCTCTACGCCTGTAGGGAGGAGCTGCAGGCGGTGCTTCCGGCGAATATGCCTCTGGAGGGTGTTGCGTTCACCGAAGCGCATGTGGCATGCCTCGCACTGGTAAGGCCGCTCGCCTGTGTGGACCCGCTGGTGGTGCGAGAGCTCCCCCGAATCCCGGAAGCTGCGCTGGCAGATAGGACACTGGTGGGGCTTCCGTCCCGAATGGGTATATTTGTGGCGCTCCAGGTGGGATGTGCGCTTGAAGGCCTTGCCACATGCCCGGCAGACATGGGGCTTGCTCTCTGAGTGGGTGATGCTGTGGCGCTGCAGGTACGACAGGTATTCAAATGTCCGCGAACAGACAGGGCAGCTGTAGACCTTGCGCAGGGAGCTCCCACTCCCACTGTCATTGCCCCCTGCCGCCCCCACGCCCTCTTCCACCAGCACAGTATAAGGAAGGCCCTGGCTGTCAATCAACAAGTAGCGCCCCAGTCGGGAAGATTCGCCTTGTTCCACTGTCCCTCCAGAAATGTGGGCCCTCCTGCCTGTTCCTGGCAGCCCATTCAAACCCTGAATGAGAGCACTGCTAGCAGAAGGAACTGGTGGGCGAGAGAGTTTGGGAAGCAATGTTTGGACATCCTCTCCCTCATCGACTTTTTCCAACTTGATGGGCTCAACATCGCTAGGAGGTTCTTGCAGAAAGGGGCGTCCCACGGATTCCGGTGATTTGTGTGGATCTCCAACAGACTTGGAATGTCTCTGCAGCTCCATCAGCAGCTTCTTACATTTATTATTCTCCCAGGGTGGAATGCCGAGCCTACAAGAGGAATGCAAAGGAAATAAACAATTCAGATAGGTAAACTCTTAAAGCTTTAATTAATTTGGGCTCCCAGCCAATTAAAGCGTTGTAGCTGATTAATCACCTTCTTTTTGATCATTCAATAAATCAATGGAAATAAAAGTGGCACGTTGCCAACACCAACATAGCTGCCTTTTTGAAGGTGTTGAAGGGAGACCTAATGTAACTTGCAATTAAATGCAGGAAGGCTACTGTCTCTTAAGAGAAGGAAAATCATTTAACTGTTTCTTAGTCTCTATCATAATACACCCATGACAAAAAAAACCCTGACAGTATAAACAGATCTATATTTGCTGTCGACCCTACCAATTGTGAATGGTTCCACTGATAAACAAGCAGTGTGATCTTATGTTTACGTAGAAATTAGACTTGCTTCATTTAATTGAGCCATTATTCTTATTTTAAATTTTTTATTAAATATAGCTTCATGATTTTTATCTATCCATTTTATCTTAATGATGTAGGTTAAGTTTTGAGAGAGTAACTGACCCAAAGGACCAGAACTTGGATCACCCAAATTGCAGTCCAACACTCTAGCCAAAATCTAATTGAACGTGAAGGAGTGTTTATCTCAGAAAACAAGCGCAAGACTTGGCTGCAAAACTGCAGCTGGATAATTTTATGAATGCAGCTAAACATTTGTAATCCCAAGCTGCAATCCTAGTCACATCTAAGTAAGTACAGGCCATACTGAAACAGTGGAACAGACTCTGAACCAGCACCCACTGATTTGGACTACACTAAATATGGAGAATCCAGATGTAGTGAATTCCAGATACAAAGAAACGATACCCACTACATGTGTGTTCCCCCTCTTTTTACAGTGTAATTCAGCAGAGCTCTGAGAATGGTTTCAAAACTGCAGTAAATGCAACACTCAGCTGCTAAACTACTGAGTCTAACAAGTGCACGTTACATGTTGGCTCAAAGGACTGCAGTTACTACCCAGCAAAGTTATTAATATATAAAATCCTGAATAACATGGAACCTGATTATCTGAGGAAATAGAGTCAGCCCTCCATTTTTGCTGGGTCAAGGGGTCCAGATAGTTTGAAAAATCTACAAATAAAAACCATTATTTTTTTACCTGAGAGAGCATTTCTTTAGGTCCTTTCATGCAACTCTGTGGTCACCATCTGCCAGAATGTGACCACAGAATCAAGCTGGATGACCAACAAATGCTCAGAAAAATAGTCTCTGTAGCAATCTCTCCTCTAGCCCATCTCTATGGTAGAAGTAGACCATACAGTCATGCTGGAGAACCTAGAAGTTCCTACAGAGAACAGATTAATCAAATCTGCAAAAGTGAAATCTCCAATTATGCAAGGCTGACCATACTTTCTCTGCTGTAAACCAGCCTCTGATGTACAGGTGGGTTCCGATGAAAGAGCCTTCTCTGTTGTAAAACCTGTCATTGAAATGCAGTAAAAGGTGCATCAGTTTTTTGAATGTTTTAAGAACCTGTTAAATTTTTATTTGTTTAATCAGACATTTGCTGATTTCGAAATCTAGTTTAGATCTTCAGATTTTTTTAGTATGATTTTTTGTATTTGCTTTTCCTTGTTGTTCAAGGATGTCTGTATAGTGTCCTGAGATTTTGTTAACAGAAAATAGCACTTGGGTATTTTAAATTTAAAATATAAATAAAATCCATGCAGGCATTATTTAGGTCAGGGAATTTCATGGATGTATCCTGGCAATGTTAAGACTTCTGGCATAACTGCTAAAGATTTGGACAAAATATCTGTTGCCTTAGATCAGTGGTTCCCAGCCTTTTTTTGACCAGGGGTTCACAACCAGGGACCACTCTCCAACATTAGTACCAAAAGGGTTACAAATCAGATTTGGTTTGGTTATTTGGGGTGCTGATTCAGAAAACTGCACTGGATAGACCACATCAGCTCTAGTTTCTGATACAGAACATATGCCATCCAGTAGTCACCATCTGCTCACCCATAGAAAACCATATTTAATCAGTCTAGGCATTATAAGAGGGTTTCGCGAGACAAGTCGTTCTCAATGCAATGGTGTAGTAATGGTGAGGCCACAGGCTATACTCTTGTTCTTGCAAACCACTGGTGGTCCATGGACCGCAGGTTGGGAGCCACTGCCTTAGATCCTAGAAATCCAACCATTAGTTCTCATCATTTGTGTGAATTATAGTCCAATTTGTTGAGTTGAAGCTGCAGTCTGCAGCAGTATATAAAACAGAAACTACAATAATAACAGAGGGAGGACAGAGGTGGTGGAAGAACAATAGCTAGGAGGCCAGAGAAGGTTAACATGGTGAGACTTCATCTGCAGAGAAGGGCTGAAGATCCTTAAATCTCCAGGTGTTTGGCTTACAAATCCCACCAGCTCCAGTCACGTTGGTCAATGGCAGGGGTCCTCAAACTTTTTAAACAAAGTACCAGGTCACAGTCCTTCAAACAGCTGGAGGACCGGATTATAATTTGAAAAAAATGAATGAATTCCTATGCACACTGCACATATCTTATTTGTAGTGCAAAAGCACTTAAAAATACAACAATTAAAATTAAGAACAATTTTAACAAATATAAACTTATTAGTATTTCAATGGAAAGTGTGGGCCTGCTTTTGACTGATGAGATAGGATTGTTGTTGTTGTTGTTGTTGTTGTTGTTGTTGTTGTTGTGTGCTTTCAAGTTGTTTCAGACTTAGGTTAACCCTGAGTGAGGGCCGGGTAAATGACCTTGGAGGGCCGTATCTGGCCCCCGGGTCTTAGTTTGAGGACCCGTGGTCAATGGTAAAGAGTTAAAGGAACGATATTCCAAAACATCTAGAGAGCCAAATGTTTTCCATCTCTGGTCTAGAGCAACTTTTGGCCCTCCAGGTGTTTTGGACTTCAACTCCCAGAAATCCCAGCCAGGTTATCAGCTGTTAGGAACTGTGAGAGCTGAAGTCACAAACACCTGGAGGACTAAAGGTTGGAAACCACTTGTCTAGAGAATGGAGACATATGATTCTAATGTGTAACAGAACCTCAAAAGGAAGAGTGGGAAGGACTGAGAAAACTGGTGAAATGGCATGCAGCTACCAAGCAATCTATTTTTTATACAGCTCTGCACATGAGCAACCAGTAAAAAGTTAATCTAAGGCCATTTCCAGGTAAAAGGGAAGGACTTCCTTTATATCCTTTATATCCTTCCTACAGATGCCAAACTATCTGAGTTCTAGCTATGAGACTCAAAGGGGAAGATGAGACAGCAATGCTTCCTCTGTCTTGTCCTCAATTTGCAGCTCTGCCCTTGATGTGTCCATCATCCTACTAAATGTCTTTTGAGGGGGGGGGGTGTTGCAAAGCAAAGCTTGAGAGGAATTGTGTTCCTCCCATTACTTCCCTCAGAGCTGCCTTGCTGTTGAATATGAACATTCAATTTTACTATAATAGGCACATTTGGAGATGGAAAAGCTTTGGATGTGTAGAAGTAAGAAAGGGTAAGAAATGTTGTTGTGATGAGCAAGTGCATCCAGGATCTCTACATATGGAATGCATTCACTGCCCATACACAATCCATCAGCTCTCCTACTTAAGCATGGATAAGATACTACTAGCATGCCGGATAGGTCATCTCTCTCATGCACTTATACAACATCTTTTCTATGATAAGGGCTTTTTGGCAGAGGAATATGCTGTCAAAAAGTTAATCTTAGTGGAGTCTCCTTCTCTGGAGGTTTTTAAGCAGAGGCTGGATGGGCATCTGCCGGGAGGGATTTTACTGTATTTTCCTGCATGGCAGAGGGTTGGTCTGGATGGCCTTTGTGATGTCTTCCAACCTTATAATTTCATGATTCTACGTTCTTAGCATCAGATATTTACACATAGCCTGAAGGACTGGCACCAACACTCACTAGAAAGCTTCTGGAGCATGCTCTTGTCACGTCCTCTCACAGTTCACATCATCCCTCGCATGCAGAATTGGTCATTATAATGCCTTGGCCCCAAACTTACCCTTCTTGGGCAACGTTCCAGCGTCTCAGCTCCCATTTCAGCACCAAAGGTGGGACCTTATCCAGAACATGCCGTTTGCTACCATCTTGGAGCAAAGTCAGCAGGAACGTCCAGATGGTCTTCTTCAACTCAACTAGCAGCAGGTGACAAGGATCCAAGCAAAGCGTTCAGCGGGACCAACCCGGGCCACATGTTGTTGTACGAATGGCGAAACGTGGCCCAAGTCCAAAGTTACCAGAACGGAGGAGGACGAGGATGAAGGGATTGAGCAACGGCACCTTGACATCCATGTATTGCAGGCACAGGATGATCTCCAAGCCTCAACCAGAGAAGCTGCAAAGTTGCCCAAGGCACAACTAGCGGTGATGCTTGAGAGAAGTGGAATCCATCCATCAGGAGGAGCTGTCAATACGCCAACGCATCCTGGAAAGGGTTTTTTTAAAAAAAAGATCAGAAGTTATTATTTACCTTAAGGTTTTTTTGGGGGGGATAAAAATATTTTTTTGGAAGAAGCTAGTCCTGGTTAAATAAAAGCAGCAATACACTGCCAAGGATGAGAGAGAGAAGGAACTCTCTAAAGGTATCAGCCTCCACTTGGATCCCCATCCAGATGACCTACAACAGGGATCTCAAACAGGGTTCCTGCCCCACATTTCCCCCCATCAATGGCTCATAAGCAGCCCCTAAAGTGTCCTTTTAAAAAGAGATAGGAAAGCAGCAGGTAGAAGGGAAACAGAGAGAGAGAGAGAGAGAGGAATTGGCATTGGCAAGGGAAGGAGGGAGGGAGGGGAGGAGGGTGGAGGGAAGAGCCCTATGGAGGGAGAGAGGGACGGAGGGAGGGAGGGGTCTAGGGCTGGGGGTTTCTACCTGGCTCTTCCAGCAGGGGGGGGGCTGGGGGAGGAGGAGGAGACAGAGGAGGAGTGGGTGTCACCGCGAAAAGAGTCCTGACGGAAACGCAGCAGTCTCTCCCACCGGCTCCGGGGAGAGAAGTTCCCGGGTAAACATTCCAGCCTGAAAGTGGGGCATGGCCTTCTCTCTCAGCCGCCGAGCCTTCCATCCTCCCCGCATGTTGTCAACCTCTTTGGCCTTTCCCGGGCTTGAGTCTGGGCCCTTCCTTCTCCGCATTCTTCCTGGGAGAAGGAGTCAAGCCCAGCACCGGGCCATCTCCGTGGGGCCATCTCTAGGGGCCTGTCCAGGCTGAAATCAATGTAATAGTCAACATGGATTTATCAAAAACAAGTCATGCCAGACTAATCTGATCTCTTTTTTCGATAGAGTTACAAGCTGGGTAGATGCGGGGAATGCCGTGGATGTGGCGTACCTGGATTTCAGTAAGGCCTTCTTTGACAAGGTCCCCCATGACCTTCTGGCAAGGAAACTAGTCCAATGTGGGCTAGGCAAAACTAAGGTGAGGTGGATCTGTAATTGGTGAAATGGACGAACCCAGAGGGTGCTCACTGTAAAGGAGGGTAAAATTGTTTGTTGTTCATTCGTTCAGTCGTCTCCGACTCTTCGTGACCTCATGGACCAGCCCACGCCAGAGCTCCCTGTCGGCCGTCACCACCCCCAGCTCCTTCAAGGTCAGTCCATTAAGACAAGGTCTGTCTTAATGAAATGACCCAATAGGCTCAAATCTAGATGACCTTTGGGGTCCCCTTCCAAGTCTTATCATTCATACTCTATGTCCTTCTTAAGACTGGATGACCTTTGGGGTCCCCTTCCAAGTCTAGGCTCAGTCTAGATGACCTTTGGGGTCCCCTTCCAAGTCTAGTGTCCATACCTTCTGTCCTTCTTAAGGACCGAATGGGGATAGACTGGATGACCTTTGGGGTCCCCTTCCAAGTCTAGGCTTAGTCTAGATGACCTTTGGGGTCCCCTTCCACGTCAGTCCAGTCACTTCAAGGATGCCATCCATCCATCTTGCCTTTGGTCGGCCCCTCTTCTTTTTGCCTTCCATTTTCCCCAGCATAATTGTCTTCTCTAGGCTTTGCTGTCTCCTCATGATGTGGCCAAAGTACTTCAACTTTGTCTCTAGTCTCCTTCCCTCCAATGAGCAGTCGGGCTTTATTTCCTGGAGGATGGACTGGTTGGATCTTCTCGCAGTCCAAGGCAATCTCAGAACTTTCCTCCAACACCACAGCTCAAAAGCATCGATCTTCCTTCGCTCAGCCTTCCCTAAGGTCCAGCTCTCACATCCGTAGGTTACTACAGGGAATACCATGGCTTTGACTAGGCGGATCTTTCTTGCCAGTTCTGATGTCTCTACTCTTTACTATTTTATCGAGACTGGACATTGCTCTCCTCCCAAGAAGTAAGCGTCTTCTGATTTCCTGGCCACAGTCTGCATCTGCAGTAATCTTTGCGCCTAGAAATACAAAGTCTGTCACGGCCTCCACATTTTCTCCCTCTATTTTCCAGTTGTCAATCATTCTTGTTGCCATGATCTTGGTTTTTTTGATGTTTAGCTGCAACCCGGCTTTTGCGCTTTCTTCTTTCACCTTGATTAGAAGGCTCCTCAGCTCCTCCTTGCTTTCGGCCATCAGAGTGGTGTCATTACTGCCACCAAATTTGTGAGGAAAGCCGGGCAATGATCAATATCAGCTTAGGAGCTGGTTTATAAAGGGACTATTATTTACAGAAGGCTTTATTCATTTGATAGCGTAGCGTTTACTGTCCCTGGTTTGGTTTTACTACTTATGCAGGCTGTTTGACTTAGGAGAAACTGTATCAGGCAAGGCTTGAGGAAAACAGTAACAAGTTTATTGGAACAAGCAAGGTATAACAGATTCAATGTTTCTTCTCTAGAGGCACAAATCTTGATAAGTTACATTAGTAAGGTTTCCTGAGTAACTTTAGGTACAGACTTTAAGAGATTTCTTTGAGCAGGTGTATCTTTCCTGGACAACTGTCCTAATAAAACAAATAAGCTAAAAGGCTTATTTAACAGAATTGGCTCCCAGCCAAACCCCGATTCTTAATATTAAAGAACCAGTCTTCCCTATAGTTCTCTAACTATAGTATTCCTGATGGTTTTCCACACACCACAGGATCTGTGACCAAAGAGTTACCTCTCCTGTAACTCTTTGGTCACAGACTGCCACTTTCAAAAAGCTGCACCATGAAGTGACAGTTGGCTCCGCCCCCGTTGCTATGGCAACTCAGCTCAGGCTAAATCAGCCACCATCTCTAACAAAATATAATCCTACATACTTACCATTTATTAACTACTGTTTAAACAACACATAACCATAAGAATAAAAGTTACACATCATCACACTCACTAATGCTTCCTCTTCATCCTGGAAAGAAGTGACGAGCGGAGTGCCATCCGCAGGGTTCCGTCCTGGGCCCGGTCCTGTTCAACATCTTTATTAATGACTTAGATGAAGGGTTAGAAGGCAGGATCATCAAGTTTGCAGATGACACCAAAGTGGGAGGGATAGCCAATACTCCAGAGGACAGGAGCAGGATTCAAAACGATCTTGACAGATTAGAGAGATGGGCCAAAACTAACAAAATGAAGTTCAACAGTGACAAATGCAAGATACTCCACTTAGGCAGGAAAAACGAAATGCAAAGATACAGAATGGGGGACAATGACTGGCTCAAGAGCAGTACGTGTGAAAAAGATCTTGGAGTCCTTGTGAACAACAAGTTTTTGCCACCAACAATGTGATGTGGCGGCAAAAAAAGCCAATGGGATTTTGGCCTGCATCAATAGGAGCATAGTGTCTAGATCTAGGGAAGTAATGCTACCCCTCTATTCCGCTTTGGTTAGACCACACCTGGAATATTGTGTCCAATTCTGGGCACCATAATTGAAGAGAGATATTGACAAGCTGGAATGTGTCCAGAGGAGGGTGACTAAAATGATCAAGGTTCTGGAGAACAAGCCCTATGAGGAGCGGCTTAAAGAACTGGGCATGTTTAGCCTGAAGAAGAGAAGGCTGAGAGGAGATATGATATTGATGTATAAATATGTGAGAGGAAGTCATACGGAGGATGGAGCAAGCTTGTTTTCTGGAGACTAGGGTGCAATGCAACAATGGCTTCAAACTACAAGAAAGGAGATTCCATCTGAACATGAGGAAGAACTTCCTGACTGAGAGCTGTTCAGCAGTGGAACTCTCTGCCCCAGAGTGTGATAGAGGTTCCTTCTTTGGAAGCTTTTAAACCAGTGGTACTCAACCTGTGGGTTCCCACATGTTTTGGGCTTCAACTCTCAGAAATCTTTACGGCTGATAAACTGGCTGGGGTGCTTTGAATGCAGTTTTCCTGCTTCTTGGCAGAATGGGGTTGGACTGGATGGCCCATGAGGTCTCTTCCAACTCTGATTCTATGAAATCCCCCTTCCACTTTGGGGCAAAGGGGTGCAGAGGGCCAGGGAATCGCTCTAGGATGGAGCCCCCCTTTCTACCCACAAAGAGCTTTCTCATTTCTGGCCTCTGGAAAAGCACATATCGCCATGTTGCCCCCCTCCCCCTCCCCCACACACACACACACACAAAGACCATAGACCCACTCCCCAACTCCACAAATTTGGACTATAGTCTTTGGATTATGTAGTTCCCCTTGCTTCCCCCAATTTCTGGACTCTTGTCTCTCTTTGCTTGTGCCACAAGCAGTTTCCCTTTTAAAAAAGATATTCAGCCAAACTCTCCTCTCCCTGGCATTTCTGGTCTCTTGACTTTGCTTGTAGGGAAAAGCATATTGCCCTCTAAACAAAGAACTTAGTCCAGGCATGGGCAAACTTTGGCCTTCCAGGTATTTTGGACTTTAACTCCCACAATTCCTAACTGCGAGCAGTTGAATAATAACAATAACAACAACACTTTATTCATATTCATAACAATCCCCATACCATGACCGCCCCAGCATATACTTGTCCTCTTGATGCACTTCACCTTATTCCCAGCAGGATATAAAACACTATAGCTTGTCCCTTCTGTACCTCCCACCAGATAAATCACTCCAGTTTTCCCATCTCGCCCTATGTCCTCTGTTTTTATTTATACCGTTGGCCAAGCCCACCTTGATTAACTCTTTGTCCTTAATTTTTATTTTACTTCATATCCAGTGTTATATCCCACTGTGTTATTCTTCTTTTACTGTTTGTATGTTATTGTTTTTATTGCTGTACTTTATTTTAATTATTATTTGCTGTATGTATTTCATTTGTTTACTGTATTTGTTGGGCTTGGCCTCATGTTAGCCGCTCCAAGTCCCTAAAGGGAGATGGTGACTGGGTATAAATAAAGTTTAATAATAATAATAACAACAACAACAATAATTCTGCCCTATCTCCCCGAGGAGACTCAGGACAGATTCCAATAACAAAAAAGGCAGGCATTCACTGCCTTAGCACAACAACAACTATAAACATAATAACCTAAAATAACCCCACATATTTTAGGTTATTATGTTTGTATTGTTGTGCTGAGACATTGAATGTCTTCCTTTTTTGTTGTTGGAATCTGCCCTGAGTCCCCTCGGGGAGATAAAATAACCCCACATATGGGGCTCCCAATGGCGTAGTGGGTTAACCCATTGTGCCAGCAGGACTGCTAACCAACAGGTCAGCAGTTAAAATCTGGGGAGAAAAAATTGAGCTCCCTTTGTCAGCTCCAGTTCCCCATTCGGGGACATGAGAGAAGCATCCAACAAGGATGGTAAAACATCAAAACATCTGGGAATCCCCTGGGCAACATCCTTGCAGACGGCCAATTCTCTCACACCAGAACCGCTCCAGTGGCCGGCTCTTCGGCTTAGAAATAGAGATGGGCACCACCCCAGACACGACT